ATATACATATAAAGATACTCAAATAAATGTTTCCAGCCCTGGTTTCAGGTTTGATCTCTGGTCAGAGCATATACAAGAATCACCCAAATGAATGCATGAATAAATGGAACAACAAATCAGTGTTTCTGTCTAACACTCACTCACTCTCTCTTCTTCTCTCTATTCTAAAATCAATTTTAAAAAAACCAAATAAATATTTTTTTTTTTGCAAAAACAAAATCAATAAGTAAAGGTTTTCAGGGTTTTGTTTTAAGGGACTAGTTGTCAACATTGTGATAATAGCCTCTAACCACCCAAATACGTTTTCCCTTGAGAACAAAATTTTAGTCATGAGAATAACCATTGATGGACTGGCTGCAAACCCAAAGAGGACATACAGATGGCCAATCGACAAGAGAAGATGCTCAATGTCACTCATCATCATGTAAATGTAAAATAAAACCACAGCAAGATATCACCTCACACCTGTCAGAATGGTATCATTAACCAATCAACAAGTAACAAGAGTTGGTGAGGCTGTGGGGAAAAGGGAACTGCTGGTGGGAATGTTAGGGCTCAGCTGAGCCACCGCACAGTACAGAGATGTCACTGAATGCGCAAACTGCCACTGCTCCTGTGAGAGTCGCATTTGGTGATTTTGGACAGCACATATTGGCATCATGGATTTTTGTTAGGAAAATGCACAAGACATATAGTTGGCTGTGTCACCTTAGGTTGATATTTGCTTCCTAAGAGGGCATTGAAAAGGGAATCTTTCTTATTCCCAATTTCTGCTTTTAACTTTGTAGACATACTGGAGACTTTCTTGATTATCTCTTCATATATATTTATTTCATGTGTGAAAGGATGCAGACCTGCAAAGTTCTTTCTTAACACTTTTGCTTTGTTTTTTTTATTTTTTTAAATATATATTTTATTGATTTTTTACAGAAAGGAGGAGAGAGGGATAGAGAGTTAGAAACATCGATAAGAGAGAATCATTGATAAGCTGCCTCTTGCATCACCCCCACTGGGGATGTGCCCGCAACCAAGGTACATGCCCTTGACCGGAATCGAACCCGGGACCTCTCGGTCTGCAGGCCGACGCTCTATCCACTGAGCCAAACCGGTCTCAGCCACTTTTGCTTTATTAATAACTTTCTCCAAGTAAGGGATTCTGACTCTTTTGCTTCTTACCTTCCCTTCTTCCTCATCCCCTTTCAAACAACACATGTACAGTCCACATATCTTAACTGTGGAATTGTTTGCTTATGGCTTAGCATATGTTTAAAGCCTGTTCAACTTTTTACAACTAGGAGCCTGACTATAGAGCTGTATCTATTGATTTCCAATCCCACAACAGAACATTCTGAGGGTCTACTCAGATGGCAGTAAAGCTGCTTGTATAAATAAAAGAACTAAATTGTTAGTTTAGTTTGTGCCAAGGTATTCTCTGAAACTATTGGAAATTTTGGTAGAAATTTATAACTATTAAAATTAGAAAATTACCTTCTAAGACATAATGGAATCAATTTTATTTTAAACCTAACACGAGAATATGCTTATTGATTTGAGAAACATCAATTGGTTGCCTCCTATATGCACCCTGACTGAGGATTGAACCCACAACCTAGGTATATATACTGACCAGGAATCAAACCCACAACCTTTCAGTGGACTGATGCTCCAACTAACTGAGCCACAGCAGCCAGGGCATGGAATCCATTTTCAGGGGAATAAATCTTATATTATTCCTAGAATTTCTGCTTACCCGAGGTCCAAAGTTCAGCTAAGTCAGTGGTAGTTGATGGAGCACCTTGAGGCCTTGGAGTTGATTGAACTATAATGTGTGCAATGTGCTCTTCACTGTGCCTGGCTTGCACGCACTCTTTTGTGGTTTCAGTCTGCCTCCCCTGTTTTCTATGCCACTGTTACGTGTTTTCTTTAAAACAGCTCGAGGCTCATACATTTTGCTGCATTTCTCTGAAACCTTGGCCCTGAAATTTGGAAGCAGAGAGTTTAAAAATTTAGCATCCAGTTAATATCTCATTGGCATAAGCTCATATATTAAAATCTTGATTCATGTAATTATAAAGAAGTAATTTTCAATATATCCAGATTCTTTAAATTATATGTCATTTGCTGGGTTCTCAGTTCATATAACTAGCTTTATATATTTGTTTCCCATTTAGATCACATTTTGTTTTACATTATTTTAAACCTCATCATGCTTCCCACAAATGAAGGCTATTAGATTTATGTGGTAGATTCTATAACAAATTGATTTAGGTGATTATGAAAAAATAACATCTTTAGGTGGGATTTTTTTTTTTAATTTTTGTTCTTTGACTTTAAGTAATTTGATACTATATTGGAGCTGGATAGTTAATAAAATGCTAACCTGTACTTCCTCCTCCCCACCCCCCCAATCATAAGTCCAATGATTTCATCTACTTAAAATTTTTAAATTTATTTTAGATTAAATAAATGTTTTTAGCTAACCAAATAAAACCATTACTAGTCCAAAAAATAAAACACTTTTAGCTCATTAATTGACAGCCTCATTTTTAAAATTTTGTTCTGAGGATCCTGCATATCTGTTCTCTGTCTTTCTTGCATGTGCTAGTTTAATTCTCCTTGCACAGAAAGCTATGTACAGGATCTTTATGTTAAAATATTTTCCAAATGTGCAGCTTCATTTTTTTCATGTTTCTTTCCTCTAAATTACATATTAGCTAATATTCTAACAAATCATTTTGTAGGCAGTTGACTGGTGGTTTAGGTGTTGTAATGTATGTACTAACAGGAGCATCTTTTTTCACTGTCAATGGGGAGAAGAATTTCTACACTGAGCTATGAGGTCAGATTTAACAAAATAAAATGAATGGTTACCTCAAAGGAACTGATCAAATTTCTGTAATTTACCTGATGGAAAAAATAATAATTTTTAAAATGGAGATTGGCAAAATTAGGTGTAAGTGGTTAATTTCCATTTATAATTATATAGCATGTAGATATAGAACTTTTATATTTCCTTATATTTCATGTGCCCAGAGAGATTTTAAATTTCACAGGGAGTGTGTCATAATTTTTGTGTATCCCAAAGCACTTAGCATTGGGTGAGAGCTGCCACAGCCCATGACCCAGCTATGTTCCCTGCCAGAGCTTCCTGGCAGTTTGGAATAAGGGACTAGGAGCCGTTTAGAATGTGGGGCTAAGAGCCGTTTGGAATGTGGAGGGAAGAGCAGTTGGCAATGTGTGGCGCTGAGCAGTTGGGCACAGTGATGGACGGTGAATGAACGATACTGTCCAGGAGCTCACGGGGCTCTTTCTGCAGAGCCCGCTGTGGCATCAGCTCCTACAACAATACAGAATCCTCCTCACGTGCTCAGTAAAGCGTGGGCACAAGCATGCCATTAAATGAATTAAGCAGTCAGAGCATAATGGTTCACCGAGTCCTGATTCTGGTTGTGCCCTGGGTATTGTTTCCAACTCTTCTGGGCAGGAAGGACTCTGATCTCCCAAGAACATTTAGCTAATGGAGTCCTTTGTTGTTATTCATTTCATTTATTTGCTGTTTTGTTCTGCTTTTCCTTCCTCTCTTGGGTTATCCAGGGGATAACAATTTAGCAACTCAGCACAAGAAGAATCGCTTTTGGAGAAGGGGAAAGGAGAACAAGGCCTAGTCTCCATCGGCCCACCGGCTTTCTTTAAAGGCATGCAATTCTGGTCTTCCTCTGACATTGCACCTGCTTTCAACTAGCCCCTCCCTTTCTCAGACACTGGAGATTCCTACTCCTTCCCCTTCACCAGTGTCTTCATAATGTATCCTCCTTCATGCCTGAAATTCAATCTCACTTTCAAATTCCACTACCCCAGATTTCAATAGTCACAAAGGAGAAGCAGAGAAATGTTTCCTTGGCTGATTAAAATAACAGATATTTTAACCTGGAAAGGTTCTTGAGCAATAAGTTTTCTAAGTTTTGTTTTAGAAACAAGGAAACTGAGTTCCAGGAAAGGCGAGGACCTTGCAGAATCCACTCACCCTGTGAGCCCAGCAGGCTCTGCAGCAGACCTGGCCCTGGGCACGTAGTAATCATTACAGTCCTGTTACCTGAGCACAGAAATCTCATTGGTTGAAGGCAATTAGAGTTTCTCAGTCCTATTATGTATCTTATTTTACTTTTCAACAATACTTGTTTATCCCTTAGAAGCAGGCCAAAGAAGAAAGATATTTAAAATTCACATTGACTCTCAATTTTGAAATAAAAGCCCTTCTCAAGACCAGTTCACAAGCACTTCAGATAAGCGAGTGATCACAATGTTTGTCCATATTTGCTTTATATATTAGGACGCTATTTATATTACCATGTATTATATAAATTAAATCATGCCCATAACATCTAAGCTGTGAAGAGGGAAATCAGTCTTAGGGCAATCTAAGCTCTTTCTATTATGCAGGGAGAGAGTAAAGATGCTGATTAAGTTTATATTTAGTTAAGGCCCTTCTATAAAAGCCTGTTTACATACAGAAAGCCTGACAGTTAGCTCCCCTTCCTCTTACCTCACCCTCTCTGCTCTCCCTCCTTACCTGGACACTCTTCTCTAAAAGAAGTTAACAAATGACCTGGGGAGATTTCTAGGTGCTGAAGAACTTCCCTGTACACCAGGGAACGGCCCACCTACTCTGGCACTGCGGGCTCCTCAGGCTAACGGCTCATGCCCACCCCCTGCAAATCCCTGCCCACCCACAGAGAACTTCATTCTCAGCAGGGAGTACCAGAAGGAAAGAAACCTAGACATTCAACAGTAGAAAAACCCATGAGGCTCTCTACAATAATCAAACTAGTCCATCATTCTTAAATAAAAATGGAAAACCCAAGCACCACCAGACATAATAAAGAAAACCAGCAACATGGAAGGTAAAATTTAAGTCTCACGGACATTAAGTAAACAAATAATGTGAGCACAGAAGAAACAAAGACAACTCAGAGAACAGAGAAACCTTCCAAAGAAATCTCCTAATCACGAGAGTCGTAAGGAGGTAATCTGAAAACAGGAACACGAGGCTGTGAAAAAAGAACAATTAAACAAAAAGAAAAACACACACACTTGTAAATAACCAATATGCCTGGTGAAACCAAACATTTCATAGAAAGTCAAGAAAAAGTCAAGAGAATCTCCCAGGTGCAAACAAAAACTGCTAACAGGGAGATGAGACGGCAGAACCGTCCAGGAGGCGCAGGTCCTGACTCAAAGGTGTTTCTGGGAGAAGCAGAGGCGCAGAATAAAGAACGAACTCAGTGACTTTAGTAAACGAACACCTCCCCGAGCTCTTGAGAGTGAAAAGACGCACTGAGTGCAGAGCAAGATAAACAGGACAAAGACATTGGGATAAAATTTCAAAACACCAGGCTGAGGAGCAAAGCCCCAGCAGTTAGTCAGAAAGGAACGGCCATCACTTAGCTTCACGGGGTGCAGGGAAGCCTGACAGCGTCTGGGAAGGTTTCAGTAGAAATTATTGTTGCTCTATCTCCCTCCAGCCAATTATTAATCCAACATAAGGGCTACAGCACCTCTTCACACATGCAAGTCTCAATGTGAATCTTTAAAATAATTGTGAAGGGGGTATTTTTATACACAGAGAAGACTATTTTATGGCGACTTGGGTTTAAAATGAATTGGTTTATTAGAATAAACTCTAAAAACAAAGTTTTCCTTGGGGCTTAAAATTCAGCCTATAAATCTTATTCTATTTTGAATTCTAGCAAAGCAAATACAATCACCTTCACTTTCTGTCATTATTAATTTAACTTGAATTAAATTCCTTAAACTAAAATCACTCTGAAGAATAAATGTAGTTAATTAAGTTCCTTTGGATATTTTAAAGTTCATACGAATTTAATTTTGCTTTTAGTTACTTTGAATGCCTGAGTTAAGTAAAAGTTCTTCAAACTATTATCATGTACACTAGTAGAACGAACCTCATGTTCTTTTGAATGTTATAAACTCTTTAAATGCTCCAAACACACAGATTCTTTGTTTATTGTTGTCACTATTGCAGATGTCCCCCAATTTCTTCCCCTTTGTTCCGCTTCATCCAGCTCCCCAACCCCCACAGGTTATCTTAATAATGTCTTAAACTTAAGTCAAATGTATTACTATATGATAGATCCTCCCTTCCCCCAACTGATGGACCGAGTATGACGTAAACTCCACCTGCAGCATGGACATTCCTGAGCACCTAACCAGGCACCTTTTATGGACTGTATATTGAACCACCAATCAGAACCTGCCAAATACCTTAAGCCCCTGATTCATAAGTCACTAAGTGCTTAATCATGTGCCTTATATGAAACCACCAGTCAGTGCATGCCGAGTACCCTAAGCCCCATCCCTTCCCTTTCTTCCCCTCAAAAGGCATGTTCACCCCTGCACATGTGCTCTCTTCCTTTGCAAGGCAGCCCGGCAGGGTCCTTCTCCTCTAATAAAGCCTGTGTCCTGGTCTTCGGCCTCTGTCTCATCTTTCACTATTCTAATTCGATTTAGCTCATCATGACCACATGACTTTAAACTCCATTTAATTTTAAACTCTCCCAGGGATAAAAAATCAAAACAAAAGAAAATCACTTATCCTCCAAGAGAACCGTTCTCCCTCCTTAAGGAGATTGGAACTGCTACTAGAGATTTCTGACCAGGTCACAGGACCTGGGCCTACACAGGCCAAGCACCTCCCACAGTCCTGCCTCAGCCACGTTCACTCACAGTTTCTATCGCTGCTGCCACAACAGCAAGCCGACCACCTTCAGGTGAGGGCGGTTTCTCCTCGGTCCAAGTGAGGCCGTGACGTAATTCCTCCACGGAATTCAAATGGACCAAAGCCTGCTTCTCCATGGCAACGTCACAATGTCCTTCCTCTTGCTTCCCTGAATCCTGCGCTTCTCAGCAAACTTAAAGTTTTTCTAATGCCCCTTCACTCTAAAGTCTCATAGCAAAGTAATGTTAGAGAAGTTAACGGGCCACTGTGAACCTTCATTTTCTCCTGGCATATTGTGAAAATTAGTCGGGAATAGTTTTCAGAATATAGACCACACTGCTTGGTACATGCAGAGTACAAAATAAATTACCTCTTTTTAACATTTGTAACTCTCGATTTAATCTTATTTCAGTTGTAGACGAAAGGAGCCACATGCTGACCTGACAAGCTCAGGGGAGGCCTGTGTGATAGTCTTGCAAACTCAGAGACCTAAAATAACCACAAAAGATGGTCTGAAAATTAAATATTTAACTACAAACAGGTTATAGTGTGTAGTCATGTCCTAAGCTGATATTTTCCCTGACAAGATCAACTTAGATCTTTCCTGAGCCCATTGCCTATTTACCTCTAAGATAACATATCTGTGAGATGTCTGGGTAACTTGTAACATCCCTTTTTCTGGAGCCCCTGGGGCACAACCTAATGTGGTGGGCTGGGCGCCAGGACGGATGCCTCAAATTCCTTCTTTATCAAATTAATTGTTCCTGCAATCACCTAAGTGTCCATCATTTTACTTTTTATCCAATCCCAGGGGTTTCCCACCACTTTGCTTTATCCCACCTCCTTAATCCATCACCAATGAATTTCATGTAACCCATCTATATCCCTCCTTTGATTACAATGTATAAATACAAATGTAATCTGACATTCTGTAGGGGTGTCGAACTCAATCAGAGAAGGGGCCAAAATCTAAAATCCAGCCTAAATCGCGGGCCGAATGGTTTACTGAACAGTCATAAACTGTCATTGTGATGGAAACGCAGCGGAGTGCAGTGATGACAGCGTGGTGCGGGCCACATTGCAAGGCCTGGCGGGACGGATTTGGCCCGCAGGCCTTGTGTTTGACACATGTGCAGAGCATTATCTCAATTTGTTGAGGTTCTGCTCCCCAGCATATGTGAACAGTTTGGCTCAAATAAAGTCACAAAAATTCTTTACAGGTTTCAATGTTGTTTTTTGTTTGTTTGTTTGTTTTTACGTTAACATAGTATTTAGACCTGGTAGATATAATTTCAAGAAATATTTTAGATACATTTTGAAAAATTTCATTCATTGTTGCCTCAATATTATTTCTCATTATTAGTTTTTTTGTTTTTATTTTTTTAAGAAATTGTGCTTATAAAGAAAGGAAAGCTCAGCAATGCAAGTACTGTATGCTTTACTTTGGTAAATATCTCAGCTTTTATGGCTTGTAGAGCTCCTTTCATTCAACACTCAGAAAGCACATGATCAACCTACTATAAATAGATGTTAAAATAGCATATTCATAAACACTAGGAAACAAAATGTTTTCCCCAATGTTTTAGATGAACACATACCATAAAATGGAAGTGAACACTCTTTAGATTCCACCATTAACATTTTACTAAACTTATATGTATGATCCATCTATTCATCAGTCCATCTTATTTTTTATGTATTTCAAAGTAAACTACAATCATCAATAAATTCCCCCAGAAATAATGCATGATAGGTATCACTACAGTTAATATTTGGTGTAAACTTTGCCTACAATGGAATGCACAAATCTTAAATATACATTCTTATACACCTGTGTAACCCAATCTCCATCCATCTATAGAACTTTACCCCAGAAGGTGCCCAGGAAGTTTAACTTTTTGTGTAATCTTTCACAGGGCTCCCGTATGTTTGTTGTGTGCATCATTAGGTAATTCCTTCTTACTGCTTGGTAGGCATTGTATAAATAGACTACACACTTGTTTATCCTCATTCTTTTATCTTATACCTTGGCTTAGTATTTTCCAAACACTACATGTAACTTTGCCAATGTACCCACAAAAGAGCCACCTACATTATATGGGTTCTTTCCTTTTTTTAGGGGATAGTTCTTTTCTATAAATGATGAAGAAAAAAAAAGTGGATGAAGGAAGATAAATAAAAGTTCACTATCTTCATCTCTACCCTTGCTATTCTGCATCTGTCTGAGTGTTACTTACAACGTTCACACACCTGGGGACAGTGGGCTGTCACAGGCCTGACTGAGCGGGGCTCTTGTTGCCTGGACGCCATGTGGGAAGTCTGTTTGGGGCTTTGCTTTAGGCGTCCCTGAAGGGACAGGGAAGAATGAGCTCACACCATCCAAGAGCCCTTCCCAGACGTTTGTGGTATCACAGACTCCTGAGCCGATTCTCCCCCAGGTTGGACAATCTTTGTTAATATTGTAGTTTGTTCTGTTTCATCTTTGGTAGTGTAAGTCTCACGCTTTGGTAGTGTAAGTCTCCAGCTTTCCCTGGTTCTTCCAATGTGGTACTATATTACTATTAGATATAGAACCATGTTCAGCATCCATCCAAAGCTCAGTTAAATCAATGCCTCATCACATTTTATTTTTATTTCTAGCAGAAGAGAGTTTTGCTTTTGTTGTACCACTACAATTCCAATAGAGTCAACTTTAGAAATATTTAATCATCCAATCTTTGGTACCTTTAAAATGAAAGTCCAAAACTGGCTAAAATGTGAGCATTCAGTAAATCGCTTTTCTGCCAAAAATAATAAAATCATTTTATTTAATGGAAACACTTGGTATTAGATAAAATAAAAAAGTAAAATTAGAAAAATGAAATAAGAATTTCAGAAAATAAATTAACCCATCAATTACTATCTACTCTTTAAAAAACAAAACAAAACAAACAAAAAAACCAGTAATATACATTTGGTATTTAAAGTTATGAAAATATCGCCCTAGCTGGTTTGGATCAGTGGATAAAGCATCGGCCTGGGGACTGAAGAGTCTCAGGTTTGATTCTAGTCAAGGGCACATGCCCAGGTTGCAGGCTCAATCCCCATAACGGGGTGAGGAGGCAGCTGATCAATGATTCTCTTTCATCATTGATGTTTCTATCTCTCCATCTCTATCTCTCTCCCTCTTTCTGCTCCCCCTTCCTATCTGAAATCAATAAAAATATATTTTTAAAAAATAAATAAATAAATAAAGTTATGAAAATATCAAAAAGTATGAAGAGAAACATAATAGTCATCAGCATGCTACCGGTTTCTATCCTAGCATATTTCCTTTCCTTCTATATATATTTTCTATATATATTTTAAAACTGTGAAATACTGTATAATCAAATTTATATTTTTTTCTAAGCTGACATTTTATCACAAATAGTTTTCCTAACACCTTAAAATCCCTTTAACAAAACTTAATCACAGTATTATAGCCCATCCTAAGTATGTGTCTCTGCTCCATACTGACCACTTACATCACATCTAGTCTTTCCTATTGAGTACTATTGTGATGAACACTTTTATACATTAATATCTGGCCCAACTTTTTTGACTCTTATGGGGTGAATTCCTGGAAATGGAATCTCCCACAGGGTGACGTCACCGGTGACGCCATCAGCGCGCCTGCCTCACAGCCCAGGAGCATGAATATTTGCTCCATCCTGTCCAACTGTGTGCAGAAAGGCTGTCCTCTATGCTCCTGAGCAGTGCTCTCAGATGTCTGTGGTTTTTAAATGTTCCAGGTGTCTTTCCTTGGCAGTTACTTGATGGTCTTTGAAGCTCACTTTTCTCATGTACATTAGTTACTTGTGTTTCTCCTTTGGTTCCAGTCTTTGCTCGGACAAGTTTTGATGATGATTTTAATTTTAATTATAGATTGTTCCAGTTGTGTCAATAAACTATGGCCCTTCCAGTAGAACCAGGGGTGTGTACCTTGTTTCTGTATCGTCCTGTGCCAGTGGGACCTTTGCCTCTTCCTAAGATGAATTTGGCTGTGAGTTAAATTCTGGGCTCATGGAGGAAGAAAAATGATTACGGAAGTGTTTAGTGGAGGGAGTTGTTTTGAATCATTCTTGTTGCAACCAAAGCAATGCTCTTTCCATCCCTAGTGATTTGAAATTTTGTAAACAGTTAGTCTAGTGTTTGTTGCTGCTCAAATAGCAAATCAAACTACACACTGAGGGAAGTGGAATGCACTTATTAAGTAATTTTTACTTTTAATGAGATCATTTCAAGGTATGCTTGGGGCCGAAGCCGGTTTGGCTCAGTGGTGGAACGTTGGTCTGTGGACTGAAGGGTCCCGGGTTCAATTCCAGTCAAGGGTATGTACATTGGTTGTGGGCACATCCCCGGTAGGGGGTGTGCAAGAGGCAGCTGGTCGATGTTTCTCTCTCATCGATGTTTCTAGCTCTCTATCTCTCTCCCTTCCTCTTTGTGAAAAATCAATAAAACATATTTTTTAAAAAAAGATATGCTTGGGAATCAAATCCGACACCCTTCAATCCACAGGCTCTAACCACTGTGCATGATGGCTAGGATTTGACACTCACTTTTGTATGACCTATGAGCTAATAAGTCTTTACATTTTAAATGATTAAAACAATTTTTTTAAAGAATGGCATTAAAAACAGCAAAGGACAATGTCCATAAGTAAAGTGTCATTGGAGCACAGCCTTGCCTCTTTAGTTATAGACTAGAGGCCCGGAGGGGAGGGGGTCCCTCAGTCCGGCCTGCCCCTCTCTCACAGTCCGGGAGCCCTCAGGGGTGGGAGACAACCCGGCAATCAGGGGAAGGCAATGCCCCATCACACCTTTATTGTTGCCACTGCGGGCAGCACAAGCCTTGGCCAACCCTGATTACCTAAGCCTTGGGCAGCCTTAGGCAGCTGGGCAGCTGCTATCTGAGGCTTGCCTGCACCTCGGGCTGGCCCTGGTTACTTCAGCCTCGGGCAGCTCTGGGAGGCTGGGCAGCCACCACCCAAGGCTTGCCCGTGCCTCAGGCCGGCCCTGTGCGGCTGGGGGACTGAGGGGACTGGGGGACTCCAAAGGCATTTGCACGGAATGCCTGTCACCCCAGCAGGACTGAGAAGACTGGGTGTCACCATCTTTGAGGGCATGACAGTCAATCAGCATAACCCCTCCTTATGGGCTGTGGGCACCACCATCTTTGAGGGTGGAGCAGAGTGCTATGTCCCTTCTGGGCATCAGGTCCTCACTGGGAGGCACTTGGGGCTGTGGTGGAATGGGCCAGGTTAGAGGAACCTGGTGTCAGGGTGAGGGGACACAGAGGGACACATGTCAGTCTCTTACACTTGCTCGCCTGCCTCCAGTGGGCTCTGTGTTGCCTCCTGCTCACAGAACACAGGGAGCCCTGCTGGGGAACCCAGAGCACACTTCTCCCAGGCTGGCATTGGGGATGTCAAGGGCATGCTGGAATTCTCTAGAAGTTCATGCTGGGGTTTAAAAACAAAATAATACGGGAGGAAATGCAGAACTTCTGCTAAAGCTGAATTTAGCAACAGCTGTGCGGCCCTACACTCCTTAGCACTTGGGACAGCGCAGACAGACCATCTTCTGCACCATTAACAAGCTTAGACGCCATAAAGGAATCACACTCACCCAGTGTCAGCCCTTCTACCTTTTCCCTTGCGCCCCCTGCTGGCATCTTGCTCTTCTGTCCTCTTTGAGCAGCATGGGGTGGCCTCCAGGGGCTCCAGCTGCAATTGAAGAAGCTGACAAGTACTGCGCAAGGCCTGGTCTGAGGACCCCAGCAGCCAGGGAGGCCTCTCTGGGGTTGACTTTGGTCGTTCTCTGGAACCCCCTTTCTTTCCTTTGATGAATTTGATGATGGCTTTGGTTCTAATCCAGAGCTTCTTCCTGTAAGAGGTAGGTGTTTAGGACACAGCCAACCCTCACTGCCCCTCCAGCAGGCCCCTGGGTGCCCTACACGAGCTGGGATTTCCTTCACCACGCTCATCCCACCTGGGGCTCAGGAGGGGGCACACACTGGTCAGCTAATTCGCAGACCCGGGGATGGTAGAAGCCTTCCTCGTGGCAGGAACCCACGACAGCCCCTTGGAAAACAGAACTTCTTACCCAGCTCTCAGCCCTCCATTCCTGTGCAAATGCAGGAAGCGGTGCTGTGCTAACCTAATCATGCTGGTGGGCAAAATTCCACTAAACGCCTTTTTCAGAAAGAGTCAGGGACCTCCTCATTTTCTACTAGTGTTAATAATACATGAAATAGGCTAGCCTACTTTACCTGTTCCCTGAACTGAGGAATCTGGGTGAGGGGAAGAGGGCAGGAGAGTGGGTTGCTTCAAGTAGAAACAGTGAGCCCTAGCACGGTTGCCCAGTGGTTGAAGTGTCAGCCTGAGCACTGAAGGGTGGTGGGTTTGATCCCCCGACAAGGGCGCATACCTGGGTTGCAGGTTCGATCCCTGGCCCTGGTTGAGGTGGGTGCAGATGGAAGCCAACTGATCGATCTCTCTCTCTCTCTCTCTCTCTCTCTCTTTCTCTCTCTCTCTCCTTCCCCCTCACCTCCCTACCTCTCTTCTGCTCTCTCTAATAATCAATGGGAAAAATATTCTCTGGTGAGGATTAAAAAAAAAATAAGTAAATAAATGAAAATAGTGAATGCAAAGGTAATATGGTTCAGCTAACAGGAAATGAGCATTCTAATGTCACAAGGACCACAGCTGGGTTCTGATCCTGGCTCTGCCATGAAACAGAACTGTGCTTACACAGCCACTCCATTTTCTCATCCGTGTCTCAATCTCCCTGTCAACAGAAGGGTCAGGCAGAATTCTGTGGTTCTGTGATTTCTACAGAGAGGCCCTGCCGGATTCATGGTTATTTGACCTCAAGGCTGGGCTGGGGTAGGTCAATGGGAAGATCCAGCTCCTGGCTCAGGCCCAGCTCTGGGGAAGCCCTGCTGCTGGACAGAGGCTGGCAGTCTCAGGGTCCCAGCAGGCCCATCACCAGGCTGCTGCTCTCTGGAGAAAGGAATGTGTGTGTGAACCGCCCTGGGGGGTCCAGTGACCCCAGAGGAATGGAGATCTGAACAAAAGGTTCCTGTGCTTTAAGATGGGGATGCGGGTCCAGGCATCTGACCCAAGCTTCCTTCCCAAAGCAGAAATGTGGTTTTCTAGGTCCCGCAATCTTGAGACCAAACCTGATATGCCTGCTTTAGTGGCTCTAAAAGCCCAGACTCTCTGCCTCTGAAACAGGCTACTGGCCAGCAGGCATTCACCGTCCCGCATAGGATAACCCTCAGTACAGAGGGCAGGACCCAAAGAAACTTGAAATTCTTTCCGTGCTAGGAGGGACCTGCACACAGGGCAGCTGCCATACAGTGGAATGTATGGGCCCAACAAACTGGTCACTGCTCTAGATGCTACAGCTTTCCCTACTCGTGAAAGATCAAACTTGTCTTCCGTGTGTAAGTTACTGACGCTTAGATCAACTCACTTCTTTGGCGCTGGATCATGGAACTTGTGCTCAGCCATGCTTTGTTCCTCCAGGTTTTCATTCATTTTCTGTGAGGAATGTAATTTGTCTCTAACAGAAGAGAGAGAAAAACAATCTGGCTTTTAAAATAAAATACATGAATTGATTCAACAGCTCCGCCTGGGACCTGGCCCAAAAGAAGCCAGTGTGTTTCTGGGATTTACATCACGGTGCTCATGGCCATTATGACCACCGAGTTGGGAATCTGGGGGTGGAAGCAGGTGACGTGGGTCCAGGACCCCTAACATGTCTAGGAGACCGGCTGGCTGAACACCTAGGATCAGGCTGTATGTCACCTCAGGAGAGTAGACCCAGAACCATCTGAAACTCAAGCTGGGGAACCCCAAGGATTCCAGCGAGGTCAGCTCAGGAGCTTGGGTTCTCAGGTCAGACACAGGGCTAGGCTCGCTCCTGTGGGTGCAGACCAACAAAGCCTTTAGTGGTGGGAGGGGTCTGCCCTCCGTAAGTTAGACGAGCATCAGGTGAAAAAGGTCAGTTTAGCAAAGTCAGACCTCCACCTGGACCCACTCCTATGTTGGGATTCTGCTCACATTTCCAGGAAAGTAAACTCAAAGCCTTTTGGCAGCCAGACAGAGAAGATAAGGAGCAAAGCGGCCTGGGAGGACTGGAGAGGGGGCGGGGCCTACGGCGAGGCTCAGTGCATGGTGCCAGGTGGTACCTAACGCAGGGCCTGCAGTCGGAGGCCTGCTCTCCATGTGAAAGAGCTTCTGATTGTTTTTCCCTAAGGATCCAGAAGCCCAGGCTCTGAAGCACAATCTCTTAATTTTTAAATGTGGGAAGTCAGTGCACATTTTCGAAAACACAGAAAAGACCAGAGGGTACCACACTCACTGTGAAGTGAGCAATGCATGAAAAGTGATAGGTTGCTAACTACTGAGTCCATGGCCACTGACCCTGATCTCCGCTAGGACCGTGTTCGGCATCTCTTCTTCTAGCCTGTGTTATTCTGTTCCCGGGGCCCTGCTGCGTGGCCTTAAGCTAGTGCGCTTTCACGTGTGAGACTGCAGCTCCTCCTGCTCCAGCAGTCCTTCACACTAGGCCGGCAAGCAGTTCTTCTCCAGCTGCCTGTGCTTCAGGGAGGTTCGCACCTCATTGGTGTGGGTCTGTAGCTCCTCCAGCTTTCCTATAAGCGCCTCGTAGAGGGCCTGCCAGTGGTTTCCCTCCAGCTGACTGTAATTCAGGGACATTGCATCTACTTAGTAGATTTGCACCTTCTTGATGTAGACCTGCTAATCCTTCTGCTCCACTTTCAAGGCATCCTACGAGGACTTCCATTCGTTCACCTACAGCTGCTTGTCATTCATGGAGATTGCACCTCCTTGTTGTGGACATGCTGGTCCTTCTGCTCACATTAGGCCTTCCTACACAGACTTTCATCAGCTCACCTGCAACTGCTTGTCATTCAGTGATGTTTGGAGCTCCTTGGTCTGGGTCTACAGCTCCTCCTCCTCCAGCACAGTCCTTCACACTAGGCATGCAGGCACTTCTCCTCCAGTTACCTGCTCCTTTGTGTGCGTCTGAAGCTCCTCATGGTTACCCAAAATCCCCTAGCACAGGGCCAAAGAGTGGGTGATGTCCAGCTGACTATAAATCAAGGACTTTAAAACCTACTTAATAGATTTGCACCTCTCCTGCTGCTTCCTCAGCCAATTCCACTGGTCCTGCCAGCAGTTCAGCTCCAGCAGTGTGTCTTTCAAGGAGATTTGCAGCTCCTTGGTGTGGTCTGCAGCTACTGCTGCTCCCACATCAGTCCTACACACTGGGCCTACAGGCAGTTCATCTCCAGCTGCTTGTCATTCATGAAGTTTGCAACTCCTTATTGTGGACCTGCTCATCCTTCTGCTCCCCCATTAGGGCCCCATACAAATACTTCCATCATTTCACCTATAGTTTTTTTCTCCTCAGTGATGTTTGCAGCTCCTTGGTCTGGGTCTGCCTCTCCTCCTCCTCCAGCACAGTCCTTCACACTAGGCATGTAGGCGGTTTTTCTTCAGCTGCCTCTGGTACAGGAATGTTTGCTGCTCCTTGGTATGGGTCTGTACCTCCTCATGGTTCACCAAAATCCCCTCATACAGGGCATGATGTGGTTGTTGGCCAGATGGCTGTATATCAGGGTCATGGCTCCTACTTAGTAGATTTGCAGCCCCTCCTGCTGCTTTCTCAGCCGATTCCACAGGGCCTGCCAACAGTTCCCCTCCAGCAGTGTGTCTTTCAAGGAGATTTGCAGCTCCTTGGTGTGGTCTGCAGCTACTGCTGCTCCCACTTCAGATTTACACACTGGGCCTAACGGTGGTTCATCTCAAGCTGCATGTCATTCAATGAGTTTGCACCCCCTTGTTGTGGACCTGCTGGTTCTTCTGCTCCCCCTTCAGCCCCTAGAAAAAGGCCTTCAATCACTTCACCTAAAGCTGCTTGGCTTGTGTCTGCAGCTCCTCCTGCTCCAGAAAATGCCTTCACACTAGTCCTGCAGGCGGAACTTCTTCAACACCTGTGTTCCAGTGGGGTTTGCAATTCCTTGTTTTGAGTTTGTAGCTCCTCCTATTTGCTCATAATCCCCTATTTCAGGGCCTGTCAATGGTGTATCTAAGGCTCAGCATAATTCAGGGACTTTGCAACTACTTCATAGATTTTCAGCTCCCCTGCTACTTCCTCAGCCAATTCCGCTGGGCCTGCCAGCAGTTCATCTCCAGCACTGTGTCATTCAAGGAGATTTGCAGCTCCTTGGTGTGGTCTGCAGCTACTGCTGCTCCCGCTTCAGACCTACACACTGGGCCAAAAGGTAGTTCATCTCCAGCTGCTTGTCATTCATGGATTTTGCATCTCCTTGTTGTGGATGTGCTGGTGTTTCTACCCCATTTCGCCTCCATACAAAGACGTCCATCAGTTCACCTACAGCTTCTTTTCATTCAGTGATGTCTGCAGCTCCTTGGTCTGGTTTGCAGCTCCTCTTCCTCCAGCACAATCCTACACACTGGGCCTACAGACAGTTCATCTTCAGCTGCTTAACATTCTTGGAGTTTGCACCTCCAAGTTGTGGACCTGCTGGTCTTTCTACCCCATTAGGCCACCTTACAAAGATGTCCATCAGTTCACCTACAGCTTCTTTTCATTCAATGATGTTTGCAGCTCCTTGGTCTGGGTCTGCCTCTCCTCCTCCTCCAGCACAGTCCTTCACACTAGGCACGTAGGCGGTTCTTCTCTAGCTGCCTGTGGTATAGGGATGTTTGTTGCTCCTTGGTGTGGGTCTGTACCTCCTCATGGTTCACCAAAATCCCCTCGTACATGGCATGACAGTGGTTGTTGTCCAGCTGACTTCATACCAGAGACTTTGAAAGCTACTCAGTATATTTTCAGCCTCTCCTACTGCTTCCTCAGCCAATTCCACTGGGCTTGCCAGCAGTTCTCCTCCAGCAGTGTGTCACTGAAGGAGATTTGCAGCTCCTTGGTGTGGTCTGCAGCTACTGCTGCTCCCACTTCAGATTTACACACTGGGCCTAACGGTGGTTCATCTCAAGCTGCATGTCATTCAAAGAGTTTGCCCCTCCTTGTTGTGGACCTGCTGGTCCTTCTACTCCCCCTTCAGCCCCTCCTCCAAGGCCTCAATCAGTTCACCTACAGCGGCTTGTCATTCAGGGAGATTTGCAGCACCTTGGTCTGGGTTGCAGCTCCTCCTGCTCGAGCACAGTCCTAGATACTGGGCCTACAGGCGGTTCATCTCCAGCTGCTTGTCATTCATGGAGTTTGCACCTCCTCGTTGTGGACCTACTGGTCTTTCTGCCTCATTAGGACGCCATATAAACACGTCCATCAGTTCACTAGAACTTCTTTTCATTCCAGGATGTTTTCAGCTACTTTGTGTGTCTGCAGCTCCTCCTGTTCCCACATCAGGCCTACACACAGGGCCTACATGCGGTTCTCCACCACCTGCTTGTGGTACAGGGATGTTTGCTGCACCATGGGGTGGGTGTCTTCCTCCTCATGGTTGCCCAAGGTGCCCTAGCACAGGGGCAGAGAGTGGTTTACTTCCAGCTGACTGTATATCAGGGCTGTGAAAACAACTTAGTAGTTTTGCAGTCCTTCCTGTTGCTTCCTCAGCCAATTCCACTGGGCCTGCCAGCAGTTTCCCTCCAGCAGTGTGTCATTCAAGGAGATTTGCAGCTCCTTGGTGTGGTCTGCAGCTACTGCTGCTCCCGCTTCAGACCTACACACTGGGCCGAAAGGTAGTTCATCTCCAGCTGGTTGTCATTCATGGATTTTGCACCTCCTTGTTGTGGACGTGCTGGTGTTTCTACCCCATTTCGCCCCCATACAAAGACGTCCATCCGTTCACCTACAGCTTCTTTTCATTCAATGATGTCTGCAGCTCCATGGTCTGGTTTGCAGCTCCTCCTCCTCTAGCACAGTCCTACTCACTGGGCCTACAGACAGTTCATCTTCAGCTGCTTATCATTCTTGGAGTTTGCACCTCCAAGTTGTGGACCTGCTGGTCTTTCTACCCCATTAGGCCACCTTACAAAGACTTCCATCAGTTCACCTACAGCTTCTTTTCATTCAATGATGTTTGCAGCTCCTTGGTCTGGGTCTGCATCTTCTCCTTCTCCTCCAGCACAGTCCTTCACACTAGGCATGTAGGCAGTTCTTCTTCAGCTGCCTGTGATATAGGGAGGTTTGCTGCTCTTTGGTGTGGGTCTGTACCTCCTCATGGTTCACCAAAATCTCCTAGTACAGGGCATGAGAATGGTAGATGTACAGGTGACTGCATATCAGGGACTTTGAAACGTACTCATTAGCTTTGCAGCCCCTCCTGCTGTTTCCTCAGCCAATTCCACTGGGCCTGCCAGCAGTTCCCCTCCAGCAGTGTGTCATTGAAGGAGATTTGCAGCTCCTTGGTGTGGTCTGCAGCTACTGCTGCTCCTGCATCAGTCCTACACACTGGGAGTACAGGCGGTTCATCTCCAGCTTCTTGTCATTCATGGAGTTTGCCCCCTCCTAGTTGTGGACCTGCTGGTCCTTCTGCTCCCCCCGTAGGCCCTCATACAAAGACTT